GAAACGTAGAATGTAATGACTGTTTAGCTTATTGAATATGATATCATAATTAAGGAGCAGCAAACATCTGGGAAAAGTGGGTTGGTGCAGTGGTAAGAGATGCACTTTCGAATTCTAGAAAAGTGTAAAAAAGTTCTTTAAACCATTAATCTTCTTGAACAAACAGTTCGATTTATGGTACTTTGACGTTACTAACCGATGAACGGGTCGTAAACCATTAATTGGAAAACAATGGGGACAGCATGGCATATTCTGGCGTGGTTATGCCAGAATGTGCGAGAGGTATAACCTTGATGTCTAATCCTAGCGCGTTAGGATGCAATTCATACTCACCCACCTGATAGCTGACTATATATGAGATAATCAGCAGAAGTAAATGCAATTATCATTAATTATATGAAAATTTCACATTGAGCGATGAATGGATGATACAATTCACTTACTTTGAAAATATACCAACTTCAGCTCTTTGGCAGTGAGGGTAGAAATAGTCCCAGAGTTAAGATTTTTCGTCTTGCAATATTGATGACGATACAACAAAATTCGAAAAATATTTCTGGTTTCACGGGAAGAAAAACAGCTGAGCATAAGCGTATGCCATACGATAGTTTGGGTACGCTTGGGATGCTGCTGCCGGCAGCATCGCATCACTTAACACGTGATCTGCCTTAGACTCCAGCGATTTAATCCTTGGTGAGATAGCGATTCAAGAAATATTTAACCTTTGCATCAATTTGTGCTTAAAAATTGTGATTTTTTTCTATGAAAATGCCCCCACCTCCAAACTTGCCATGTTTCTCTTGTTGGTAGCGAGAACAAGAAGAGGAAGGCTATTATCTAGTAATTTGCAATATTATTGATTTACGGTCTATTAAAATGTACTAAAACTTATTGCTGCAGAGCACATTGCAACAGTAAATTGTACTGCACTGTAACACAATTTCAAAGGTTTATTAATTACTTCTACAGTGCACTACAGTAGTACTCTATCATATTTACTGTATTGCAAGTTACAGGGTATTGGGTTTGATAAATTTAGCACAAAACTGTGCAGTACATCACACTATACATCATTACTCATACATTACAGTGTCTTCGTCTATACACTATGTAAAGGTCGTCCCTTACTTACGATATTTTCTTCTTACGGTACGATTATCGAAACGTAACCCCATCGTAAGTCGGGAACTGCCTGTATTTGCTTCATTCGCAGATCAGACCTGCAGCAGAAAACTCACGAATCTGATCGACATTGCATGGTACATGTAATATTACAATTCAGCGGCTCTGGCAGTACAACAACGGTTTCTTTCAAAAGAGAAAGAAGATCCTTTCTGAAGCGACTTAGGCAAACTGGTGTTGAAGTTAATAGAGCTGAATAAGGTAAGAAAACCTTCTTTTCAGTTTCCGGCCATTTTGACAAAACATGACGGCTTTAGGCTTGATACATTTCCAGATGTACAGAAAACATCCAAATGCATACAGAGAAAAAAACAAATGTTCATTTACATTCGAATGACGGCCACCGATGCACTTCGAATTAACTTTAAAGACTTTCTTCGCCGAGCATATGGGTGCTGGTTTCTGTTTCTCTACATCTGCCAGAGTGCAATATTTTTCAAACCGGTGTCTATGGCATGCTGGTAATTATAAAATGTTATGTTTCGCCTCCGTCTCACAGATCAACACCCATTTATCCACCTTGGAAGAAAAAATTCGACTTTACCCTTCCGGGATCCAAACCCATTAAGATTACGGATTTAGACTACAAGTTAAACCCTATATCAAATGAAACATCTTCGCTATGACACTAACAAAATGTTTGAGAAGAGGAGTCGACCTCGAACGCCAAAGATGCCGGTTCGATTCTGGAAGTACTTTGGCTTAACAGCGATTTCCGTTGAGGAAGGAATTTACTCTGCGCTGCCTCAGATCGAGTTCGCTCAACTGGCAGAACATCGAATAGAGAAACTAGAGAACTCGAGTTCCAGCCCCGGTTAGTGTTCCTAGCCTTCCTTCCTTCCGATGTCGATAAGCAAGTGCAACCTGTGAAAATAAAACAGAAGATCACACCATGCTCACGACGTAGCCATTATTGACTCTGAATTTAAAGCTAGGCCTCCTGGATAATTACATGTAAATTTCAATCAGCGCCTCAGCATTAACTTTATGAACAGGCGTCGTCAAAAATGTCCCAATAACGAAAAAACAAGGAAAAGCAACGTTCCATTGATTACAAACCACGTTGCCACATTGTAACGTCAGCGTCAGACAT